AATTGATGGCTTGTGAATCAGACTGAGTGGCTTCCTAAGTCAGCGAAAGACTGCAACGCCAAGCTCACGAGCGCAGAAAAAAACAACACAGAGCAAGAGAGTAAAGAGAAGTTTGCAGAGGCATCGAGAGAGAAAAGAGCATCGCAGAGCCAGTCTGAAGCGACTGAAAGCCCAAACCCTTACCCTTGTTGAAAGACATTTCGACAAGTATCTTGGTGCTATGAAGATCCAGAAGCCATCCTTTCAGAGCCACGATGCTTGTGAAATTCTCTTGCTCGGTGATCAGTGAACATATCCTTTTCCAGATTGGGTTTTCACACCCCCAACAAGCATCCAGACAGAACCCCTCGAACCCAAGATTTCGGATAAAGGGGAAACTCTGTTCTCACTCCGTCCTCTCCCTCCTGGTCTTGTCGCGGCAGCAAGTCCAGCCGCAAAAAATCCTTCCATGCGATTTAGCATGGGGTGAGCAGCGTTGAAGGTTGGGTGCGGTTTAGGGTTCAAGTTCGCAGGCCTCCGACAAACGATCTAGGCCATGAGCTATGATGCGGTGTAAAATCGACAATACCGGTTGTCACATTCATGGCTTGTTTTTTACGAGAACCGGGGTCTCGAGCTGCCAATAAGCAACCGACTCGAAACGCAACAAAAGACCCAGCTTTTGAATGGCCTAGAACTTTGAGGATTCCGGGTCCCAAGCGCCCAAATCCCTTGGCCATATCTCGAAGAAACCTGTAGCTACAGAGTTTACAAAATGCCTTGCCCCGAATCCAACAACCCCATGCCGCAAAAACGTAGTGTCACACCTGCCTACTACAATTAATATTGAAGCTATCCTTTGCCACTCATATGTTCGCCTACCAGCACTAGTAACAATCTGGTGACTTTTGCTGATGCTGCTGCTCCTCCTCCTGCAGCCGATGCAGCTGCTGTTTCTGCTGCTGCTGACACAACAGCGACTGCGGCGACTACTCCTGTTCCTACTCCTACTCCTACTCCTCCTCCTCCTACTACTACTACTACGACGACGACTACTACTACGACTACGACTTTCGACTGCGACTGCGACTACGACTACGACTACGACTACTACTACTACTACTACCACCACTACCACTACCACTACCACTACCAC